GGGGGGGGGGGGTGTATAGAAAAGCGAAAGAATAGAGATTTTGGAGGCAAATTCCAAAAGATTTGATAGGTGGGTATGAGAGGAAGGGGTCCAGGGTGCCACCATTGTTTCTGCCTTGTACAACGGGATGATTTGCAGGGTGCTTCACCCAGATGGGCAGTTTAGGAGAGAACCAGGTGTGGGAAGGGCATAAATTTGGTTTTGGATATGATGAGTTTGAGGTGCTTTTGAGACATCCAAGGGGTCATGTTGAGTACAGAGTTGGAGTCATGAGTGTGGGATTTAAATGAGAGCATTGGGCTGGAAAAATAAATACATGAGTTATCAATGTATAGGTGGTAAGTGAAGCCATGGATGTGAATGAGCTTGCCCAGGGAGAGTGTGATGAGTGAAAGGAGTTATAGGACCCAACCTTAAGGAACATGAAGTCTTTTCTCACATTAGAAAAAACAAATCATTCCACCCTCTCTTTATACATCAAACACCATCCACAGATCAATGACCTTCAGCCTAAATCCCAAAGCTCTTTGTGCCACCCAGGCTGAGTGACAGGGCTGCAGTCTTCCCATAGTCCCATCGTGCTTTCACCCCTGCAGGAGGCTATTGTAAGTGACAGTTCTTAAGTGCTTTTCCTAGCACCAGGGAGAAACTTGTGGGAGTGTTGTGTTCCTTTTGTCTAAAAGCCTCTGTGTCCAAGTTGAGATCATCCATTCAGCTGGGTGAGGGCCCAGTCTTATGTTAAATAGTGTAGTTTTTGTGGGTTGCTTATGACTTTGCTGTACACAGGGTCTCTGTCCTCTGTCCTCTTGTGCCTCCTCCCTTCCTTTGGAGCAGCAAAGCTCAACCTCCTGTCTGACTGTGGCTGAGCATTCTGGGCTGTAGCCTGTAAGCTGTGCAGCTTTGCTATGAAGGGGTTCTCAGCCCTGGGATCACCCTACTTCCCTCTAAGGTGAGTGGTGAGTAGCTAGACTAGCTTGATTGCTGTCAACATGTCGACAGACCTCTTAGTACCCCAGGCACAGGATGCTAAGAATGTGGGCTTTGGGGCAGGGAGTCTGCCTAGGAAGTGGGATCTATCTATAGCCCTCTGGAGAGGCAGAATTGTTTGTGAGCTGATGGGGAGTCTTCAGTTCAGCTGTCATGAATCCCAGCCCTGCCTGGAAAAGTCTAGGGTCAGCTGAGACCCCAGGACCACTTCCTGGTTGGATAATGACCTCTTCTTCTGCCAAACCACAGGGGCTTGGCTGGCCTTCAGAGCCAGCATCTGCTGGCTTCAGGCAACACAGTGCCCTTGGAGATGGGAAGATGATCTGGAGCCAATTCTGAGGCAAACAGCCCAGCTTTTAGTCTCTAAGCCACAGTGTGGCTTCTTTTGTCTGTTGTATAGACTAATCACAGACTCTGGAAAGGAAGGAAGAAGACAAACTTGCTCTATAGAAATAGGAAATACAACCCAGGGAAAGATTCCTAGAAGGCTCACACTATAGCAGTCCCCAGGAATGCACAGAACTTGACACTGTGAACAGCATGGCAGTGTGGGGCAACACAGAACTGTGCTATGATGTTATCTTGTGTGTGTTTGTTTGTTCAACATTCCTGAGCACCTACTATATGCTAGCCTCCTTGCTTAGGCAACAGAAATACTAAGGTGACCAAGAGCTCTTCCAGGAGCAGACATGGCCAAGGATAATGGAAATATAATGTGGGCTACAGCAGAAGTACACAGAGGACTGTAGCACACTAGAGAGGGTGAAGGTAAGTGTTCTCTAGAGGTTACTGTGTCTTGAATGATGGGGACAGGCAATTTCAAAAGGAAAGAAAGCATCGAAAAACAAAATAATCATAGTGATGGCAGCCACTTTTTTAAAATTTGTAGAGGTTGATAGTGTAGCCTCTAGTCCTGGCTCCATCCCTCACTGTGATCTTAAAACAATTATCTCAGTTTCTGTATCTGTTTTCTCCTCTCTAAACTGGAGATAACAGTACCTACCTCAAAGGGTTGAGTAAATGTTATTAAGCACTTACTACATTCCAGATCCTATATGTACTTAAGTTGTAATCCTCACAACCACCCTGAAAGTAGGCTTATCCATTTTATAGCAGAGGAAAAGTGACACTCAGGTTGCTCATGCTCATATGGATTAAAGGCTGGTGTAGGTATTTGAACCCATATCTGTCTGACATCTAAACTCATGGCCTGCCTTCTATTCCATGTCTAGTGGGACAGGAACACTGAATGTAAACAGAGTGAAGTCATGAGATAATGACACCTTTTTGACACTTCCCCTCTGGTTGGTTGGGGTATATCTTTGGCAGACCTGCCTGACACCAAATTTGGCTCTTCATAGAAGTATGGTGGTGAGTTTTACCAAGAGACCATGTGCAAACTTCATGTATGTGTTCCGCACAGGGCAGCTGGAAAACCTAAAGCAGGAACTTAACCCTGGAACCCCTACAAGTCAATAATAAAAAGGCAAACCAGCCAGTAAAAAAGAGGGGAGGGTACAAAAACATTTTAACAGAATTTTCACTAAAGAAAATATATGAATGGCCAATAAGCACATGAGAAGATGCTCAACATCATTAGGTAAAAGGGAAATTCAAATTAAAACCATAATGAAATACCACTACATACTTTCCCACATACTAAAAAAATTAAAAACAAATGCTGACCAGGTACTCACACATTGTTGGTACAAGTATAAAAATGATACATTTTGGAGAAAGGTCTGGCAGTTCCTTATAAAATTAAACACAAATACTTGGGATGATGAACACACAATACAGTGTACAGATGATGTTTTGTGGA